AATTACAGTTTGATTATGAACAGTATTTAATTTTTTGGCTGCATTTGTAGCATTCTCATCACTTAAAAATAAAAAGTATAAAACATGTCTCTTATATTCATCTGTTACTTCCATTTTAACGAAAATAAACAACTGAAATGTTCCCAATTCTGAATAGTATTATATGAATGAAATCCAATTTAACACTTCAGTGTAAAAAGTATCACATTAGACTGGCATTTTTAACAGCAAAACAAGATTTTTCTCAAGATCATAAAATAGGCAAGAACTTATGGACTGACCTGATAAATTTATTGAATTAAACTTGTATAAAAAGATTTTATTGAAATATAATCAAAACAAAATATATTCTTTATCTAGCTAAAGAAAATTTATATCACCTGTTGGTGTTGTAATAATACAAGGAGTATATGGTAACTGATTAAGCCCTTCTTCCACGACAAGACGAATCTGTAAAAATTGTAATTATGTTAAATTTTATTTAACTTTCTCATTTACTAACAATCCATATTAATCAAATAAAAATTTTAACATACAAGATTTGTTTAAATCCCGATTTCATACAAATATATATTAATACATACTAAAATCCACTTATTGTAATCACTTTTGAATTTGCCTATAATGATAATGATAACTTATATAACATTATATGATAGCAGATGAGCCCAGCATTGCTCAGGCAAGTAAGTTAATTCTCATTATAATAGAGAATTAACTTACTTGATGATAACCTTACTTGAATAAAATGATTAATTTTAAATTCTAAAATCTAAAAAAATTTGTTTGGAACATTATACAGTAGAGCATCGATTATCCGATTCAATTGGGGACTGGGGTTGTCGGATAACAGAAAAAACAGATAACCGAAAAATATGAAAAAATACATTATTAGTATAGTATATTAGTATATCCCATGTAATTAGTATATTGCTATTAACCTACTTCGTGTTGAATTTTCATCGATGTTAAGCCTAACAAACATTTTTAAAAAATAATAATCGTCATTATTGTATCATTAAAAATTAGGCCTTGTTTAAATACTGGCTCCCTTTCATGGTTGAGCCAGTGTTGCCAGCTAAAACACATAAAAATACTATTAAAGTAGCCAAGACACTTTAGTGCCTTGTAGTGTTACATCATTAGTAGACACTTGAATTTGCCGACTAGAACGTGATCAGTTAACTGATGTGACGGTTGATCAGGGGGTCAGATAATTGATGCTCTACTGTATTTCAAATCTAGAACCAATTCAAATATTGATTTGAATTTGTTTATTTTGGATTTATTGTTTTTGGGTTACCCAAAGAGTGGAAATGATTAAAATATTTATTAATTTCCAAAATGTGTACTATATGTGCCACTATTTACTTTCCTTCTTTATTATACCAACTAAAACTAACTCTCTCTTCCTCTTTCCTCAGGGGTGGAATTTTCAAAAATCCCTTCTTAATGTGCATTCTCTCATGGCATGCCCTACGAAACGCAGTCAAAAAAAAAAAAAAAAAAAACACATTTAAAATAGTACAGTAGAAGTTGAGTTCTTTAGGATAAGCCTTAATCCTCTCCCTCTCCCTCACGGGGAGATTTCCAAAAATCCCTTCTTAGTGTACATTCTTGTGACGTACCTTAACTGTGTACCAAATTTCAACTTTCAACTCTTAACCATTTGGGCTTTGAGCTTATTATTATTATTATCAACCCATTCAATTATATTATAAGATAAGCAAATGAAACTGTAACTAGTGAAAATTCAGAATCAATATTATTGAATCTGATATTAAAAGGATATGCTGAAACACTTAAAAAAGAGTTAAAACATCTCTTAGTACAGTGGAATAACTTAATAAACAATTAAATCAAAAGCCTTAAATTATATTCCAGTATGATTTAATTAGAAAAGGGTTTTTTTCAATTAACGTTTTTGATCTGCAATTGGAGATCTTCAGTCTGTATATTCGACGATGGAATGATTAAATCAAACAATGATGTTTTTTGTAAAATTAAATGAAAGAAATTCTTCAAATAGTTAGTTGAAAAACTTTTTCAAATTAAAATAGAAATTTTATTTACTGTAATTCCATTTAATATTCAGACAGATACATAACTAAACATGTTAAAAAATAAGATTGAATTAATTTTGTTTATTTATAAACACAAAGAATGAACACTGTTATAAAAATATAAAGTAAAAGTTAAAATTGCACACAACAACTTAATTAAAAAAAAGCAAAGTTCGGATAGATTGCTACAAATTTTACATTGCAATTTAATATTTAGTTAGGCATCCTTCTGTACAGAAGGATGCCTAACTAATATTAAACTGCATAGTACAGCCTTTCTTTTCAGCTTCAACTTAACCAGTTTTGCAGTGTAACTTATTCGGAGCTATCAATAATTTCATTCCAATCTATAAGAGTTTTCAGTTCAGTTTTATTCTTGATATGTTTCTGAATCCTTCATTGAATTAAGTTCATTCCATAAGTTTATCACACATCATTTTAAAGAAAAATTAATTTCAGTTAATTTTTAGATAAGATATTAAAAATTTGTTTTTAAAAGGAAGAAGATCTTGCTATGATAGCAGCTCAGCAATATTATATTGATCATGGCACAGATCTCCTCTTAGATCAATTAGTAGCATTGCTGCCAAATTACATTCCTGATTATTGTCTTCAAGCAAGTGATAAAAGTATTGAACGATGNAAAGGTGACTTTGTTGTAAGACTGTTTCTTGAGGTGTTGAGAAAGGACATTGAATAAATCGCTATTGTATAGTCTTAAAATGTATTATATTTACACACTTAAATGTATTTTTCAATATATTGCACGTTTCGAAAGTATTCGACATGGTCGTACTTATAATCTTACTTAAATGGTTATTAATTTTATTAAATATTGTAGTAAATGTTACATTCTTTACATTAGAGCTACTTAAATAATAATTTAATACAGTAAGACCCCGCTTAACACTAATTCGATATAACACAGTCTACTTGAAACCTAAAAAAATTATCAAAATTTACGCTGATTTAAATTATCATGGCATTTCATTGATTCGTATATAATACGATTATTTGCGAACACAAACCAATCAGCAAAAGGTGGCAAAAAGGTGTACTTTCTTTAAATCTATGTTTGTTTGGTGCAATTTTGGAAAAAATATATCATCATGACTTGAATCATGAAGAAATATTGACTTCACTTAGCAAGAATTAACTAATAAATGCACGAATGGAGTGTGGAAGAAGTTATGGCTGAAGGTATCCAAGAATTCTCAATGAGAAGAGCCTATCATTGTATCGTTAGGTTGACCAAACTCAACCAAATTGTTATAGCAAGACTAGGAGATGTAGATGAACAGGATATTGAGGAGTTACCACAGGTTTCTGGTGAGAGTCTTATCAACGACAACTTTCAAGAACTGGCAGAACAAGGAATCTGTGTAGAATTGGAAAATAGTGATTCTGAACATGAAGAACCCAAAAACTTTCTCTACAGATTTCCTTAGTAAAAGTTTAGTAACAATAACTGATATTGTTGATCAAATTGTAGCAATGAGCTAGATTTTGAAAGGAGTGCAAAAGCAAAACGAGCTGTTTTGGGTGTGATCTTCTGCTACCAACATTTGCTTAAGGAAAGAAAAAAGAGACAAATGAAACTTCACAACTTTATTGCAAAAAAACAAGAATTTCAGAAAAGTCAGGACCTTCATCACAAAAAATAAACTGTACATTTCTAACTAACATAAACATATGTTAAATGACACATATGTTTATGTGTTATTTAACATATATTACTATACAAATTAATATAAAAATAACTTAAAATTAAAGTAAAATTTGTTTATTTTTGGTTGTGTGTTCCCCTATCCCTATTTACTCTATGTTAAAATGACGTCGTTTAACATTGTTTCGTTTAGAGCTTTGTCGTTTAGGAACTCATCCCCCGCATTAAGCGGNACAGACGATAGTAAACTGAACTTACCCGCCTAAACTCTCCGTAGCGTGGCGCTGGACGGCGGAAAAAGTAGTTTGGCTGCCCGATGATGTTTTACTGAATTATAGGAGTTTTTTTAACCATATTTGTACGGATACCGTCGCAATTTTTTCGTCGTCATATAGGAATCCGAACTATAGGAACCCGTGTTATAGGGGGATCTACTGTATATATAATGCATATAAAATTATTAATATAGATAAACATATATACGTATACCATACTCAATGCTCGTAAAAATTTGTATCTTTAAAAATTATATTAGTGGTCCGCGATATCTAAAAGGTTGCTGACCCCTGCTGTAGATGATGTTGCTGAACAGAGATTTGAGAAAGGTGCAAAGTGAACCATTGTGTGGTGTTCAGGTGTGGTGAAGTGGCAAATATACAATGTTAAGTCTGTGGGACAAACATGTCAGAGTCCCACTGCATTAGCTTTAGTACCAGCAATTGTTTTTTGAGTTTTGCAGTTTCATTATTGTAAATATTGAGGTCAATAAATATACATTTTAGTTACTAAGGATTGTTTTTACACCCTCTTCCAAATCGACCTCATCAATCCACCTTTTCTTCAAAAGCCCAAGCGATGCCAGACATTTGCAGCTAGTATATTATTTGGAATAAAAGAAGTTTTTTGTAATCAAATTTTTTTAAGAAAACAAATTCAATAATAATTTGTAAAATAAATAACTCAAACTATTGTAATTTAAAAAGAAATTTATTATAAAAGTTTCCTTTTAACAGCAGATGTGATTTTACAATGATTTCATAGTTTCAATTAGTTCAAATATGATGATTCCATTTCAAATAATCAACAATTTAGTTATACACGTGTAATTTTGAAATATCAATATATTCCAAAATAAAAACTTTTTATCTTAAATTTTTTATTTTTGGTTCATTTTCATTTAATAACAAAATCTGACTGTGAAATTCAAATATACAGTATAGTCATCAATAGGATGACTATCATGCCAAAATACTGTATAATAAAATAAAATGGAGAAGACACTGAGGTTGGCATCACATTTACATTTTTTATCACAAGCACTTTCGATGAACTTACAGTCATCGTCATAAGGCAAATATAGAGATTTACCGGAAAATTAAACAGAAATAATCTGATGTACAATATAACGCATAAAATTTTAGGTTGAGACTTTTGTCAAAGCCGTTAAGAACATGAAACAAATATTCAAATATAATTCATAGTTTCAATTAGTTCAAATATGATTTCATAGTTTCAATTATGTCATAATTTTTAACGATAAATAATATTTTTCATAAAAAAAAAAAACAAATTAATATAATATAATATAATTCGAAAACCAAATGAGCAGTAAGCTCTGTGATGTGTGGGTTGGAGCATGTGCAGAACCAGGCTCATGCTATATGCATACTGGAGAATGCTAGTATTTGCTTAAATGCTTGCATAGCATGACCTGACACCGGGCAGATCCCCCCTCCAATGTTGCGTGTCTTAGGTTGTTCTTTCAACCAAAAACCCATAAGACAAACTGGCCGTTACGTCCTCTAGTAAACAAATGGTCTCACCCTATCTATTATTTAGAAAAAGTGCTTGCTAAATTCCTTCACACAATAGTTCCGGACTCTCCATATGTTACTCCCTCTTCTGTAACAGCTAAATCCATCATCGCTTCAAGTATTGGTACACTATGGCCAGACACCTACACCTTCTACAAGCTAGATGTAATATCTTTATATCCTTCAGTGCCCACCTTTGAGGCTGTAATGCTGGCTAATTCTCTCCTTCTAAAAAAGGGCTTTAACATCCAACAGGTGCCTGATATACGTGATGCGCTCACCTTCATCACCGAGTACAATTACTTTCATTTTAACCAAAAAATCTATTTACAAAAGCAAGGGGTCTCTATGGGTTCTCTTTTATCTGCAATCCTAGTGGAACTTTTTATGAGAGAGATTGAGCACAGAACGTTCAATTCTGCGCTTGCCATCCACTACCCGAGGCTGTATTTGCCTTATGTTGATGACATCCTCATAGCATGGGAAGACACAGATGAGATGTTCCTCACCTTTATGCAACAACTCTCAAGTATATATTCTTCCACCAGTTTCACTTGGGAGAAAGAAAGCAATGTGGCAATAACATTCTTAGACCTGCATATACATAAATCTTCAGAAGGGCCACAATTCTCGGTTAATCACAAATCTAGCATAGCTCCGCACATTATACCAGCAGAGGCCTTTCAGCTTTCTCGATACGTTAATGCTGCCATTGCCTCCCTCATCAGAAGGGCATACTTACTATCCTCTACGCAAGAGCTGGTAAACATCGAGTTAGACAACATCAGTTTGGCAGTACGCACTGCTGGCATTTCACGTGCAAAATTTACACATGTGCTCAATAGGGTAAAGAAAGCACTGTTTCCAAGCTCTACGTTATGCAGTAAGAGGGAGTTTTTGATGGTACAAACATCGTTGCCATATCTTGGACCCCCCTATATACGCATCTGCAGAATCTTTAGGCAGTGCAATCTTGTACTTCCAAACCTATGCAAGCTTATTTGTAATTATAGAGACAAATTTTCCACTTTTGAGAAATCGGGGGTCTATGCTGTTCCTCTAGAAAATCCTGCAACGGGGCTAAACACAAGATATATCGGGGTCACTACTAGAATGCTTGCCAGCTGCCTTGAAGAGCACCAAGACGATGTTGTGAGGGGTAGGCACCACCGAGCTCGCAAGAAAGGTACTTGAGCAGGGTTACAACCCGCTATGATCCCAAGCGGCTATGTTCAAGAGCTGTAAGGATCAAAAAATTGTTTTCATCAGGGAATCTCTCCTTACTACCATCTTGGACACGTGCAACACCCCAATGCTTGATCTGCCCAGTGTATGGGTCACACTATACAAGCATTTAAGCAAATACCAGCATTCTCCAGTATGCATATAGCGTGAGCCTGGTTTTATGCATGCACCAACCCATGCATCATGGAGCTTACTGCTCGTTCGGTTTTCGAATTATATTTGAATATTTGTTTCGTGTTCTTAACGGCTTTGACAAAAGTTTCAACCTAAAATTTTATGCGTTCTATTCTACATCAGATTATTTCTGTTTAATTTTTTGGTAAATCTCTGTATTCACCTGATGACAACGTCTATAAGTTCGTCAAAAGTACTTGCGATAAAAAAATGTACATGTAACACCGACCTCAGTGTCTTCTCTATTTTATTTTATTGTATAGTATAGTCAAGTTATGAGGTTAAAATTAAACACAAAAGTTCAAAATGTTACTAAAAATAAATGATTTTGGCTTTTGTATATAACTAACTATACTGTTAATATATCAGGTCAGTCCATAAGTTTGTGCGCATTTTTATCTACAAAAAAAGCAACAAAAAATTTTAATTAAATTTTATTTCAACCTATAATGTATTCAACATTATTTTGTACAATTTCTTGCCATCTTGATGGTAACTTTTTAATCCTGTCTTTGTAAAATGATTTCGGTTTTGAATCAAAATATTCAGAAATAGCCTTTTTTACATTGTTCTCATCCTCAAAAGTTTTTCCTTTTAAAAAATTCTGCAAACTCCGAAAAAGATGATAATCACTGGGAGCAATATCTGGCAAATATGGTGGATGAGGTAAAATTTCCCAGTTGAAGCTTTTGAGTTGAGCAGTTGACGTTGTTGTCAGTTAGCTATTGACAGTTCATGTGGTATCCATTTTCCTAGCTTTGAAACTTTTCCGA